AAACGAAAATCTAAAAATTCTAAAAATGACTCACGTTCGTTGACAATTTTTCTGCTTCCTTCTTTATTACCTGAAAAATATATATTTTATATTTTGGGGAATTTTTTGTCAGCTGAAAACGGAAATTTATCATTTAATCCTTTGAGTGTCTATTAAAGTCGTCAAAATCGACTGCACGCAACGAGTTAGAAATGCTATCGTCAATATGCATTTGGGTTCATTTATTTAATTGTTAATATTTGAAATTGTTTCAAGCGTTTTAAATTATCTACGCGACATTCTAGTTTAAATGGATTAAACACTCAAAGGATTAAGTATCTTTCAACATTTTAATGGTGCGACAAGCAGTGATATTTTAAATAACAAGACGGCTGAGAAAGCACGTATATAACGTGAATGTCAAACGAAATTACAATTTTATCCTTTAAGCGGGCAGTCGTATTTTTCGCACCTTTCCGCGGGCAATCTGCTTAGTTTATGACTAATATTTTTACTGTCTTCGAATTTTGAAAAATCTGAGAACATTCTGCTTTAATCTGTTATATATAATATATAATCGGCTCTCGAATCAAATATTCAAACGAACAATTGCCAAAGATAAAAATTTATTTTGAAGAAATTCAAGATTCGAGTTAAAAGAATCGAAATTAACAAGTTTTTTTAAAAGATTCTGTTCGAATTTGTACATTTCTTGTAAAAACATCCATTGTGGAATTTTTGCGGCGTCACACTTAAGAACACTTTTGAACAGTGTTCTCACGAGACAGATTTTTTTTTAAATAATCTGTACAATAAAAGTTCCACGGAGACAAGTTTCATCATTTTAAAACGTTTAAATAAAAATCCATTTTTATATTCGAGTGCTATTCGTTCAATAGTATTCGCCATAAATATTGAGAACTTTTTTCTCTAACACTGAACGAATTATCTGTTCCTCCGACAGAGAAATGTTCATTTTAAATTTAATTTTAATTTAATTTTCATTCAAGGTCCATTCTGTTTGAAACTTTGATTCGCAAGATCACCGGCGACATTTTTCTAAGAATCCACGTTTCAAATAGTAGGTTTGTTCTCGATCAAAAATTATATTCACGACGCATTCACTTTCAGCTGTTACTCAAACACGGCCTCGATGGTGTTGCGCAGCGAACACGCGCCCTCTCCCTCCACCCTTATCGAGCGGGAAAGACACATTGGAATCGCGTGTTTCGAAGGAACCGCGTAACAGATGTTACGTGTGTCGCAGCGATCTCGCGCGAACGAAGCTATAAATCACGACGGGCGAAAAGCCCGTGGAATGGTGTTTCGCGTTCGCGCGAGCCTGTTAATAAAAATCGATGGTTTATCGAGGCCGGCCACCGCCGTTCGAATAACCAACGGGATTTATGGCGCGTTCCACTGCAGCTGCGTCGATGCATTTTGGGCGAAACTGTGCCTGCGGCTCCGGCTGATTTCGCTGTACACTTTTTTAAGAAGCACAGCCTTCTCGTCACGATGTTGCTTTTTAATTTCGAGTCAGAGAGAGAGAGAGAGAGAGAGAGAGAGAGAGATTGATCAACAAGCGCAAGTCAAACGTAATCGATTCAACGCGGGTAATTGGATCATCTTTTAGTCAGAAGCTCGTTCAGCCGCGGAATGAAGAATATACAGGGCAGAACTAATTTCGTTCGGGCCCCGGGCTTCGATTTTAGAAAGCGTGACCTGCTGGTGTCTCTCATTTATCTCATTTGATAGAATCGATATGGCTGACGAGATTGAGGACCAGCACGAACGACGTGTAACGCGGTATTATTATACAAAAACGTAAATCAAGCATGTTATTGCTCCGTCAGTTGCAGAACCGCAGTCGCCGGTAATCCGGGGGAAAAATTCGCTTAATATCGAGCTCGATCGTTTGAAGTTGAACCAGAAACGAAATAAATGGCTTCGATCCTTCGTTACCGCGGCCCCTGTCGAATTAATAAATAAATTTTGTTTTGCAATTGAACGATCGTTTTCCATCCTATAATCGGTAACGTTCGGACGCCGGGATATTCGCGAAATCGTTGTTCCGCGGGAACAGAGACGACGAGCAGCCGGCAGTTAAACCTGGATCTCCGCTAATAAGTACAATTCTCGATGCACCGTGAAATAAATAATTCATGAGAGAAAATCCATTATTACGTCGCGAAATGTCGCCGCGGCGTTCGCGACGAATTTTCCCCTCGGTTAAACTGGCTAAATAATTTACACCCTTTTCTACGCGTCTACTTCATTCATGGCCCTCATCTCTCCGTCCCCCTTCTCTGTAAATAACCACCCTTGTCCACTTAATCCACGTTTTTTTTCGTCGTCCTTGTTTTCGTCACGCTCGAGCCCCTTTCATTCCACCGATCAACGCGATTTTATTAAGATCCGGTGGTTTCGCGAAGCTCCGTTTTTTCCCTTGTTTTCCGTTCGTTCTGCCAACCTGACGGCCGGTTAATGGATTTTCGGAACAGAATTTTTCAATTCGTTCGGACGCGATGAGGATCGCCGTTTCGCCGGAAATCAAGTGGAATAACAATTTCATCCCCTTTGTTTTTCGGCGCGCGACGCACATTTTTCAGACCGACCTACACGCGCGCGTACATGCTTCCCCGAGCGTGTTGTTCCCCGCTTGTTTTTCCATCGTGTAACAAAAAAAAAAAAAAAAAAAAAAAAAAAAAANAAAAAAAAAAAAAAGAAAAAATTGCAGCCGCGAAGTGTCGTCTCGACATGCCTGTACTGCTTGTAGCAGTACAAACTATCGGGGCAAACAGCTCGAAAATATTTGCTCGCCCTCCGGTGAAACATCCCGCCAAATCACTTTTCCCTTTTCACTGGCACACCGGTCCGTGGAAACGCGCCGCCTGGCGATTCGTCGTGGGCTTTTGTTTCGGCCGGTTTTACTTGCGTTAACGGCCCTTTTTTAATTTTTCTCATAAGGTGGTTTCGCATCGCTCGATTATTCGCAAATTTTACCGGTACCGAGATTCGTGTAGTCGAAGATACAAGCAGTTAATCTTCTAGAGTCTTTTAATTTACTTATATATATATATATATATATATATATATATATATATATATATATATATATATATATATATATAGACTTTTAATTTACTTATTTATATATTAGATTTTACTTATATATAGATATGTAGCAGTTGGAGTTGTTTTTTAATTCTAAATTTTACTTCAAGGAATATATATATTTCATTTGTTGAACTTATTACACAAGCAAAAAAAAAAAAAATATCATCATTACAGTAGGCTAGCTCTATGGATCTTATTTTGAACTTATTAGCACGCGTGAACGCACTTTGCAATAGATTTTGCTTCAGAAGCTACTTTTTAAAACATTGATTAGGATAGTGTGTAGATTCATGCAGTTGAAAGTGACAGGCAGATGTCAATTTTTCAAAGTTGCTGTGAATTCTAAATTTTATTTCAGGATATATCTAGATTCGTTTAGTTCAAAACACAGGCAGTCGTTTTTTCAATTTTTTAATACTTGTTTCTAATCTGAAATTTTCTTTTAAAAAGTATTCTTTTAGAATATTGCCTAGATACAGTTGAAAGTACAGGCAGTCGTGTTAACTTTTTAAATTTGTTTCTTATCTTAAGTTTTACTCTAGAAAGTATCTCTTAGAATATTGATTAGAATTGTTTGGCCAGTGTTCAGTTGAATTCGTGTAATTGAAAACATAGACAGTCCTGTTAATTTCTTAAACTTGTTTCTAGCCTTAAATTTTACTTTAGAAACTATTTCTTAGAACATTGATTAAGACGTGCCTAGACTCGTGTAGTTGAACATATAGTAGTTGGAGTTGTTTTTTAATTCTAAATTTTACTTCAAGGAATATATATATATATATATTTCATTGTTAAACTTATTACACAAGCAAAAAAAAAAAAAAAAATCATCATTATAGTAAGCTACCTTTAATCTTATTTTGAACTTATTAGCACGCGTGAACGCACTTTGCAATAGATCACATGATATTGGCGTGCGGTAGATATTCATAGACGAGCCTGTTCGCTTGTAAGGGGATGTTGAACACCTGTTCAACTACGAATCACGTCAGGTGCTCCAGCCGCTTTTATAGCCTCGCCAGGTGTCTCGGATCTTGTCACATGCTCGGAATGTACGTACGAACGGGAAACTTTAGCACCCTTCGGTGGTTTTTATCACGCGCCGAAGGAACATACGATCGAGTCGAATTACAAATTTTCTCAGAGTTACTACGTTTTTTTACCCTAAACGTAAACGTCTACCACGAGTTGAAAAAAATTCATCTAGCAAATGTTCGAGTTGCAAAGTTAAATTATATTTTTCAAATCAAGCGTATTTTTTCAATCAAACGTGTGCAGCGTTTAATTTCTTTTTGACCATTTGATTGCTCGCTAAAATTATTAAAAAGACCGAACAACGTACGATTAAATTCATTGGGAATGCATTCATCCTTTGATGTTTTTGTTTTGTCATCAGAATAACGTTAAATGTTACTTGTCAGTATTATTGTATAATATTACATAATTTATATAATAAATTATTATTATTTAATAATACGCAAACAATAATACTAAAAATATTTGGAGCAAAATCATGCATTTTAAATTACTTTTGACATCGTTGAAAAATTGCTTGTTGAAATAATACCTTAACATTGAATTGCTATTGCTTTGTTTCTGTAATGCATCCAGACATTTTCTTTGATAATTATGTTTCTGCACCGTTATAAAAATTGTAAGAAAGATAATGCGTGGAAAGTGTTAATGAAATGGAAGAAACCTTTTTGGACAACGAGTTCGTGTGATTCGAGCAAAGTACGACTGCACGTGAATGCGATGGTGAATCGCGATAAACGCCACGTTCTGTCGTAATTCAAGGATTAAACGAACCCCTTCCTTCGTGGTGCGGGATTGCTCCTAGCGGGCTAAGCTGTTGTCCAGTCAAGTGACACGCAGCGCGACAGATAAATCGATTTGCATTCCAGGTGATCGCGTTGCTCTCCATATGCACGGTATTCCTGACCTGCTGCGCGGTCCACGCAATCGTCTACCGCAAATCCGCTTACTCCGATGTCGAGGACTCGGTCATATCATCCGTGAGTATAAGTCCGAATTCTGTTCCACTTCTGTGCCACGGACTCGAACCTGAAACGCGTTCCGACAACTTTAATACGCTTGTCATCCGACGAGCTGATTGCCTCGCGATTCAGGTCAATGTTTAGCCAAACGATCGCCCAATGTGCTTGTACTTTAATTGCCCTTTTATGCCACACTGGGCAAAGATAATTGAGGGCTAAGTGTCGAAGAAGCTCTTATCTCTCATCATCGGTATTGGTTGCTGAGGTAAGGTGGGAATAAAATTTATTACAGGAGAATTAAATAGTGAAAAGTATACTGAAAATTATTGACGAACAAATTAACACGCGCGCGATACTTTGCGAACCAAGAAATTCGTGTTTTAGAGTGGCTAGCCGAGTCTTTGAACTTAATTAACCCGGATTGTATTTTTATAATCTGTAATATTACATTAGGGGTACCTACGAGTAATGTCGTTTTCTTCAGCAAACATTACCATCTAGTGACAATGATTTAACTTAATCTATTCGTATATTATAACCTATATTTCTATGTAACTTATATTATAACATAACATATATAACCTACATTATAACATAACCTATATTCTTATATAATCTATATTCTAACATAGCCTATATTCCTATATAACCTATATTCATACATTATATAACATTATATACATTCTAGTTATAATCTATCTAGTTATAATCTAACATAGCCTATATTCCTATATAACCTATATTATAACATACATTCTAGTTAATCTACATTATAATATAATCTACATTATAACATAACCTATATTCTTATATAATCTATATTCTAACATAGCCTATATTCCTATGTAACCTATATTATAACATACATTCTAGTCTATCTAGTTATAATCTAACATAGCCTATATTACTATATAACCTATATTATAATATACATTCTAGTTAAATACATCGACATTTAAAATTGCATCAACTCTTAAATAAAATAAAATTTTGTACAGTACTGACAAAACGACATCACTTAACACTCACTTCGTCGATATTTTTATCAAACAAGCGTGTCTTAAATTATCCTTTATTAGCTTCTACATTAGTTTCGATCTTTCAAACGTGTATTCCAGCTTCGTTACAAATTCGTCTTTGTTTTTTGGTAATCGTGACCGGCCGTTCAAGCATTGATGCGTCACATTCCTCGCGATTGAAATTCAGAACAGAGACAGTCCTCGGACTTTCTTTTTTTATTATATAGTCCCGTTCTAATTTTCAAACGACGCTCGAACATTTCGATTACGATGCTCGAAGAGAAGAGAATCGAGTAAAGTCGCACTCGACCGTCCTCCTGATTTCCCAACACTGCCGAGCGTCGAGTAGTTTCGCCTAACCCCTTAAAGAATCGCTATCAGGATCCTGAAATCGAAGAAACTGGCTGCACGGCGAATGAAAATCGTTATGTGAAGGAGAAGGGAGAGCGGAAGGAAATGTAAAAGCGGAACGAAGGGGGAATGCCGGGGATTACCGGGGCGGGCTGTTGTTTTCCCGACGCGCGTTTTCATTACGCTTGCTCGCCGGAAACTCGAGAGGCCTTCGGGCTCTTATCCTTGCACTTCCGGTTCAACAGGCATTAACACGAGTATCGTTGACATCGTTTCCTGCCTGTAGACGCCAGCCGAGACCCGAGACCCGCGCAAAAAGGAATTTAGCAAACAAAAGAAGGCGTATGACCACCGCGGGGTGAAGCTTTTAGGCGACGAGAGGGAAAGGGTTGGATTGTTCCAGGCCGGGCCAAGCTTTTGCTCTGAGAATTTGTCAAATTCCGTCGCGACTGACTATATCGAGTGATCTATATTTGACGAAACGGTTTATTTAATTTGTTATTAAGCGTGGTAATATCCAGGAGGAGAGAATTGATCATCGAAAGTAATTTTGACTGACTTTTGTAAATATAAAATTACGAATTATTTAATTCGTTGTATAAATATTCATTAATTATTTAATTTATTAATATCTGTGTAATAACAACTTTTATGAATATAAAATTAGGAGTTATTTAATTCATTAATTATGAATTAATAGCCATCGACTGCTGGAGTATATTTATAAAATTTGTAGCAGAGAAATCCATAAAGTTCGGGGAAGAAATTTATAATGCAATTAAGAATACAAGCTCCTGTTTGTGTATTTTGACCAAAAATTATTCAAGTCGCAAAAAAATACACTGTTTTTTAAATATATAAAAATTTTATAAATATATAAAATTTATAAGTATATAAAAATACATTGTTTTTTAAATATATAAAATACACTATTTTTTAAATATATAAAAATTTTATAAATATATAAAAATTGTTGACCATTTATTAGAAATAGAATCTAAAAAGAAATTTCTTTCATCCACTGATTATTGTAAAAAAAATACTCTAGTTTGGATATTCTATATGTTTCTACATCGTCACATTTCCCACAAATGCATAGAAATCCGGTCTAACGATATATATAACATTAATTTATTTGTCTGGAAATTATTTTACTATTCTGTTATGTCTGATTAATTCTTGAATCATTTGAATAATTTTTTCGCGATGTTTTTTCTCTATTTATTATTTATTAGATCACCGATATTTGGGAAATAAATAATTTAAAATAAAAAAGAGTCTTCATTCCATAACATTAGAACAATCAGTCTTTGATACGAGACCAAAATATTCTGCACTATAAATCATTATAACTTAAATGACAATAATTCAAATAAACAGATTTCTTCACTTACGTTTCTGTCTAAACAGAAATCAATGCCAATCGTGAATCAAATATTGACCCGATGTTTTTGAAGCAATTGTGAAAAATCGTCATACTGGCGGGTTTCATCGTTCTCGTGTTAAATTTCTTAAATTTACAATCACGATACTGAAAGATTAGTGATGTATTAATTATTTCTTGTACAAGTATCATGTTCAGTTATCTCAAGTTCAAGATCGAGTTTCAAGATGTTGAAGTTTAGCTTAGCTTGGCCCTAGCTGACTATATTACTCACGGATGAAAATTTATATTACACTCGACACATACACACACGCACGCACACACATACACAAATCGAAAGATAGTTCTCTCGTCGACGTCAACGTTCGTAGACTTGGTGATGTTGCAGAAACGTTTTACGGTAGATTCTCGCGGGGAGGAAAACGGCGCGTATTTGGAATCATGCAAAATGGACCGTCAAGAAGTGTTTTAGAGTGTCTCTTGGGACACCGTTGAAAGCGTCTCCTCTTTCGATAATGTGTTTATGGTTTATTCGAGCATTCCGTTTTGCACTTTCCTCCTTACCTCTCGATTTTTATAACGCACGCTGTCAGTTTACAGTTATCCAGTCGCGAGTATGCTCGCGTTCAAACGTCACAATTGAACTTGTATCAGCTCTTACATGAGTTTAAATCACTTTAAATCAATGCAACTATTGAAGAGTAAAATTCCGTTGGCTGTCGTCGAAATATTGTTCATTGAGTTTCATTGCTTCGTTCTAATTGCAAAACGTGTAATTACTTATAATGTTCAGTAACTCGCGTTAATGTTCGGTCACTAAATATTAAAAGCTGTCGAACGAAATATTAAGCATACGTGAGAAAAGTTCAACCTTGATAAAATTGGCGGAAGAAGATCGCGCAGCGAATTTTCGACGCAGCACGTTGTGAAGGAAAAAAGCTTGAATCTTCAAATTGAAGGAAATTTATATGACAATTAAGAACATTTCTCGAGGAGGAAAGAATCCTAATTGCAAAACGTAAAAAAACATCGCATATACATTCTAAAAGTGTTGGGCTTTCAAAACAAGCCCAAAATTATTTCCTTTCTAGAAAATGATAACAGTTTCGATATTCAGATCTGCGAGTCGCTTGACAACGTGTTGGAACGGTATTAAAATGTACGAGCGAGTGAAATTCAGTCGAGTAGTGGAATTGTTTGGTGGCGTGCTAGTTCGCTGGATTTAAAGGAAAAATGGTGTCCACTCGTCGGCGCAAGAACTAATTACTCGTTGATCCATTAATCCCAACATTTCGGTGTAAACAAGCGGCTTGAGCCGAGGTTTCATGCGGTTTCAGCCGAGTCTCAGCACATTTTCAGCTGGCAGTTCGAAACTAGTTGAATCCGGCATTGGTTTTCCGCCTAAGTCCGTCTTAAGACGGTCTGTTGTGTTTCACGTGACGACGCGGACCTGTCGTTGGGCTTCTGGTAACTTCGTTGACCTGTTTCCGATCTCCACTGAACGTGCTCTCCGGTGAGGAAAAAATTATTTTCTTGCTTGTCGACGAAGGAAATAAATAATTTGAGGGTAAAAAGTAGAGGAGAGAAAGAAGTGAATCAGAGCTGGATAAAATAATAAATAATCCTGTTTATTTTAAACTTTGAAGATGGAGCATTTTGTTCGATACAGAGTAAAACAGTATATTTGAAAATAATATTTTGACTTCGAAACAGTATATTTGAACATAATATTTTATTTCGAAGGATATTGAAAATATTTTGATTTTGTTTCGAAATATTTATTTCAATTTATTAGATATTATTGCCGAGAGTAATAATTCACATTCCTAGTCGTGGCCAGATGGTTTTTTTCAGATATGCGAAAATAAAATAAAAAAGCATGTATCTGTTAAGAAATACATATTAGATCCATAAATACTGTGGTTTCTCTAACAATTCTAAAACGCAGGAGGAAAAGATGGTTAACATTGTCAGAAATATTTTTTTTACCATTATTTACAACTTGTTTTTATTTCAATTTCTTTTAATTTAACTCGACTTTTAGAAATCCCAAGATCGAATCGAAAGAAACTTGTGAAATGATACCCACGCAGTGATCGAAGTATTTCATTTTACTTTATCGGATTATTGAAATGGAAATATTTAGTTTCACGTTTTTTCAGAAATTTCTCGTTTGTCGAAATTGATATTAGGAATTCTCTTAATTTGAAATATTTCTCTCGCGAAAAATATTGCCCAGCTCCGAATCCAATCGATTTGCTAAAGACGCAGTGGCGCTAATGTAACAAAGCACTTTCCTTTGTGCCGCGAATTAAGCTTTCTTTAAGCTTTTTTTTCTTTTTTACTTTTATCAGTCGAACAATTTCGCTCGAGGAGCGTAGGAGCCGATA